CCACAGATCAAACTATATTCAATAAGTAGACAATCATAACGAATGATTATCAATAATATTCAGTTCAGTAGCGAGGCGATTACAAACAACTCTAATTGAAAACGTTACTCCTACAAGACTCCCTCACCAGCAGTAATGTGCTATGGTCAAAGCAAGCCCCCTTGTTCTAGAACCCCAGATTGCCTCCACTTTTCTCATTCTTACAGGCTTCCTCTTTCCTCTCCTAAAAACTATATCTGCAATACAATTCTGTTTGATCCTCGTCTAACACCCTCACGTGCACGCATGCACAACTTGTGCATGCGTGCATATTCTTCACATCATGTCAAGGCGACAGACACCACGCCCTAGAAACACTCCATTCTTACCCGTCAGTGTTTATCCCCTAATTTTCACACTATGACCAGGAATGCGAACTGCGGTGCATAGGGAGGGAGGGACTTCGGGTCTCGTTAACTATTGGAGGAATCGGATCCGTTGCCGACCATATAGGTAACGTAAGGGTAGCCGATGGATCAAACTCGAACTATCTTGAATATCAATAAGTCTAGACTAGAGAAATGAAATGATAAGACCACTTGTCTAGTTCACTTAACTCCAATGAACGCCTTGCACGGATGCTCACGTTCCTAGCTGGAACAAGTTGCCGCACAAAGCGTGGCGCACAACTGCTTATCTACGAATAGACGACAGCCAGCGAAAATCAGGAGCCCTCATCATCGACTCTTACAACAAACGCAGTTGTAGAGGTCAATTGAGAGCCACGTTCTTCCCTTAATAAGAGACAACATACGATAGTTTAAAAATCAACTCTGAAAGATATGCCTCCAAACGCGGCTTAAGTCAACTGAACACCGCGGACGGGTTTACTAGAAAACGTACAACAGGAGATCGGAAATATTCAACAACTCAGTAAGGAGAAGCTCTACGAGACACCGATCGACGAACCTGAATGAACGATGGCTACCTCACAACTACCGCTCCACGATGAACTTACACCATCCTGTGTCGGTGGTCCAGTCGATATTCCCTCAGCCTTGCCGCAAGCATGTGCCTCTTTAAACTTCGACTCGATCGCATTACAGTCCATCTGGCCCGACAGCACTTGCGAGGCTAACATCATTCCTACTTTCACCTGAGGGAAAATACTCTACTCACAAACTCTCAGATCCATCGAGTACTAACAAATACTGCAAGATGAATTCCCTACCACCGCAAGGCCTATCTAGACAACTTTCAACCGCAGAGTGGCGCGAGAAAAGAGCCCACCTCTCGTAATTTCGCGGCGAGTGACAACAAAGGTACCATTTAAAAGCCCTCATCGAGCTCTTTCCAACGCTGTATGAGCCCTTCTGCACCGTCCCGTTCATATTCCACAACAGTGCGAAAAAATGTACTATTCTCAGTAGTCTCACCGACCAACCCGATCATACAATAGGAAAT